GTTAGTTTTTCTCTTTCTATTGCTCTTGTTTTTCTGTCTTTCTCTTATTTTGTCTTTGCTTGTACTTTTTTTACTTTGCATTTTGCGAAACACAGAGAATTCATCTAAAATGTTTGCGAATTTGTAAGTTTTTGAGTTGTTTTTATTTTCCGTTGACGTAAGTGACCGGAAGTGAAATTTCACCTCCTTAGCAACGCGCGCGAGCGCGCGCTTGAATCGGTTAATGGGTCCTTGATAATGAGATTGAACAATTCTGATGTTTAGATTTGGCGTTGTTTAGGAGAAAGTGGAATGTTTTTGATGATCATGTTGTTTCGATTTTGTCTCCAGCCCGCTCTCCGTCACCAGACACTAAGAAGGCCCTAGAGGCTCTGGCAGCTGTTGAAAGACTTCAGTCTCAGCTACTGTAGGTTCTCTCCCATTGACAATTGTGCTAAATGAATTGAGTTTCGAATTGAATATCAGTAATACTTCCGTGTTCTTGGTTTCATGATTTGTGGCCTTAAAAGTAAGCGTGTCTCGGCTTTTGCTTGTAACTACCGTAGGATCTTGATGATTTTCTTTCGACGATCGTCTTACAGCAGAAAAAAAAGATTCATTCAAGTTTTTCGCAGCAGCTTATTGCAGCAAGAATTGTTTGGATGGGACTGTCCAGAAGATTCAAATTGCGTCATAATAGTCACGACGGTTTCTTTTATTCTAACGCGCCCGCTCGCTCAGTCGAGCCTCTGTGTTTGTATATGTAATTGTATTGTTTCAATTGATATTTGCACAACGTAAAATAGTCTCTTTATTATAATTATTGGGAAACTCTGTGTACTCCAGATAAAAAAATGGTGGCAAGCGGGAAGGGGTGGGCTAGCAAAGAAGTTCAATATTTTGGATAGAAAGGTTATTCATTATACTGAGGGTTACATTTTCTGATTGTCCTTGTTTACGTCTTTTCACAGCGAGACAGAGGAGCGCGCTCAAGCTGCAGAAGAGAGAGCAATTCAAGCGGAAACCGATCTCAAACAAGCTCTGGAGAAAATCCGAGCCCTCGAACGGACCGCCTCTCGCGCAAGTGCTTTAACACCAACAGAGTCTCAAACGCCCGCGGACAGACCGGTCAGCAGTAGCATGTCAAAAAGGCCCACTTCTCAGGCGTCTACTGCGCAGGCGCATTCACCTCAACCTCCAAGAACAGCTTCCCAGCAATCCTCAAGGCCCTCAACTCGGACATCAACTAAGAAAAAATAATTTATGTTCTTGTGTAAATATAAAAGTTGTTTTGCAAAAAAAAGTCTTCATACATTGTACATTAATAGGATATTAACAAGTTATCTTAAGTTTCCTTATTAAATCCGCTTGACACGATATCTAATGCTGTAAATAAATCTTAGTGAAGAGAAACGTTTCTCTAATTTAATGCGGCAAAGTTTTAGATGTTTATTTATTTTTATAATGATCGAACTAAGGATTGTATGAAACTATTTTGACTGTGATTCCGTTTTAGTCAAAGTTCATGTTTTAGACCGCTACAAACAATTGCTCCCATATATTGTTATGAGTTATATTCTGAAGGCTTGGTTATTTACGTTTGATTATTTACCACTTCCAGTGTATTATATGCGTTACAAATAAGAACGATATAGTGCTCTAGAAAAAGTCAAAGTGTAGTACATCTAATTGCATGGAACAAAAGTACATGGAATTGGATTGGAAGTCATGTCATTGAAGGGATTTGCAAACACGTAGTTCATGTGATAAATTGTGATAAAACAACCGAAATAGACAGAAACAAGTTTGTTTGCTTTCTGTGCTCCACTATCTTTGTTCTTATCCCTTTTTCTGTTTCTATGAAACACAGACCCAGCTCAAATACGTCCTTTTATGGATTGTTTTTTTTTTTACTAGTCCTGTTTAACTGGAGGTAGTCCAAACAATGTCATCTCATACCATACGAGCAATCGTGCGTAGTATTGATAACCGAGCTACAAAATAAATTAAATGTCTGAACAGCTAGTAAGTAGTCTTGAAACATGCTTTTGAGTTGATACGGCTTGCTGAGCAGGCAGGTTAAACAAGAAAGCAAGATCAAAATTAACGTTAATCGGTTCAGACCTCGGAAAGTACTTAGCGCGTGCGGTTGCATCCATGCAATATGATGCGTGACAACTTTGGCTCCGGAAACTGCAAAAAAACTACAACTTGATATTTTCTGAAGTTTCATTTTCTACAGTAACTGTTTTCTCAGATTTGCTGCTTGCCAGCATAGAGTGGAAATTCCTCTTCATGAACTCATTATTTTAGTTCATCCTAGGTC